CACAGCCCAGTTCATAGACTAGGTCGCCTGTTCCTAATGAGCCCAGTAAAGCTGGTGTGTCTGTAATCCCAGCACTTGGTAGGTGGAGGCAGGAGAATCAGAAGTTCAAGGTCCTCGTTGGCTACATTTCAAGTTGAGGTTAACCTGGGCTATGTAAGACCCTTTCTAAAAAAAAAAAAAAAAAAAAACAAATAGAAAGGAAAAAAGAGAGACATGGAATGCCAAAAGGAGAAAGTGATTTCTTCAATGTGGTCACACTGGAGAGAAGAACAAATAAAGGAGCAGCTACCCCAAGTCCATCTTTGGGATATTAACATGAAGCTTAGTTCTAGATGGACAAAGAACTGGGCACAGGGGCCAAGAGGCATGCAGAAAGCCATCGTGGTCACTCTGCTTCATAGTTGTCTCTGTTCAGGGTCAGCAAAGAAGTCTTCATCGAGGTCATTGCTTGAGGGAACCAGTCCGGTTCTCAAGGGTGATTACTTTTACTTTTGTTCCAGGTGGACAACTGTTTCTCTCTCTCTCTCTCTCTCTCTCTCTCTCTCTCTCTCCCTCTCCCTCTCCCTCTCCCTCTCCCTCTCGCTCTCTCGCTGTGTGTGTGTGTGTGTGTGTGTGTGTGTGTGTGTGTGTGTGTTAGGCAGTCTATCATGTGAGGTTCTGTTCCTGGAATCCCAAGTGGCTGCAGGAGTAAGACACTAACTTATTTCTGTGCCTACAACCTTGAAGTGGGATGACATAGGTGAGATTCTCCTGGAGTGATTGGCATGCCTAGGTACAGAGGTAACAGGTGACCCAAAATAAAGGAAGTAGACAGGAGATGAAGCTACAGATGTCAGGCTTTTATCCTGTATTTAGTTACCTCAAGACCAAAGTGAGGAGTCGATTCTTTTTAGCAAAGACAGCTTCTAAGTGCCTGTTTGAAAACCATTTTGAAAATTAGGATTAAATATTGCTGTCATTAATGGGCATGATGGCTCACACCTGTAAGCCCAGCACTCAGAAAGGTGAGACAGGAAGGTTGCTGCAAGGTCAGCCTGGGCTACATAAGTGAGTTCCAAGACAGCCTGAGCTGCAACATGAGACCCTGTCTAAAAAAAAAAAACACACACACACACACACATAAATATAATAATTTTCTGTTACTTGTCAACCATCACAGCTATACAATTACTAAGCAGGTAACAATAGGGGATGGATACGGGAACTTCATAGACTACGTTATAAGAGCACATTTGGACTGCATTTTGTAGAACTGGGAAAGCATATTTATACTCTATTCTATAGGAAGGAATCTGCACATACACATTAGCACAGCACATACACCAGCTAACCGTTTGTTTGCTCCGAGTGAACCTGTCACGCTAGATGTCATCTAAATGGTGGCTCAGGAGGAATGCAAGGCTCTGTAACCTAGGTGTATATGAACCTTTCCCCAGTACCCAGAAAGAGATGATAATGAAGGAAATATGGATTCTCAGAGACAAGGCTGACCACCAAGGCAGATGGACAAGACTGGACCTTCAAATGATTTTGTTCTGGTTCGCTATAAAATACACTAACTAGAGAGACAGGTTTCCCTCTGACTTCCCAGAGAGCCAGCTCTCTGAGTAAAGCAGAGTCTAAGTCAATTCTTAGTTTTTGTATATTATGACAATCATCACGAACCAAATTCTGATTTCAGTAACACTGGCCCGATGCATTGAAATGACGGCCCATGTCCATAGAACAGGAGAAAATTTGAATTTAATAAACTCCATTCAGTCTTTTTTTTTCCTGCTTTTTTTTGATACAGGGTCTCCCTGTAGCCCCAGCTGACCTGGAACTCGCTATGTAGACCAGGTTGATCTCAAACTCACAAAGATCCACCTGCCTCTGCCTCCCGAGTACTGGGATCAAAGGCGTGTGCCACCAGGTCTGGCTCCATTCAGTCTTAACCTAATATTGTCTTGATCTTGTCCCCCTTTCTTGCTCACTTGTGGCTGAAAGCTTCTGTTTTGTTTTGTTTTTGTTTCTGTTTGTTTTTAAAGTAGATTCATAGTTGCTAAAGATTTTTCCTCTAACAAGGAATTAGATGGACCAGAACGTGTCCATCTAGCAAAGACAGAGAGGTAAGCCTGACTGCCTGGTTGATGAGTGAGGCTTCTGGAGAAGGATTGCATCAGAATGAGGAAAGGTGCAAGTTTATTCACACTAAATGGAGCCACATGTCAAGCCCTAGCCAGAATTCAGTCTGGTAAGGCCCCACAGAAGCTCACATGCTCTCCCAACTACCTGCCCGTTGTTTTCACCCTGCAACAAACTCTTCTGTTTGGAGTGTTTCAGATAAGGCAAAAGAGTGACTTAGCATCAGGTCTTCACCCATGACCTAACACCCACTGAGCTGAGCTCCTGAAGCTGACTGAGCTTTGTTTTGAAAGAGTGACCTGGACTTCCTTTCTTGTGAAAACTCCCTTTGTATCATCTCCTGACCTTGAAGCACAATCTCTATACCCTGGGCTGTAACCTAGCACCCTTCCCCATTAATAAATGAAGGAATTGCTAAATTTTAGCTGTGGCTTAGTGTAAGTCAAAAAAACCTTCTTTTTCCAACATATCAATTCATGGACCCTTGAAATTTCATCTATGGAGCCTTTGGAAAGGATCCTAACCCAGGTTCCTAGATTGAGACTTCTAAAAACCCTTTTATGATGTGTATGAGGAAGCTTAAGTTACTATCATGATTCTGACAAATGGTTGTACCAAAAAATTTAAATATGGAATACTGGAAGAAATATCTAAAAATTTAATTTATATTCAAAGAAAAGTATCAGTTAATAACTAAAAGCAGAAGCCACAACCCAAGAAGCTTTTGCTTAAAAAAAAGTAAAATAGAGAGAGCTGTAGGAAGTACACCCTTTAAGAGTTTCCAAAAATAATGCTTGACTTAACTTCCTGAGCTGCTTTTGGCCGTTTTGAATTTCTGCAGCTATACAGGGTTGCCGTTCCCCAGCTTAGTTTAGTTTGCTCTATAGTATCATAATATGGCTTTATAGCAAAGACGAGTGGCAAAAACTGGATTAACTAGTTGACACCAGAAATGTCTGTGGTAGATCAGTTCTACACATAATCCTGTTTTCAATGACAGACAACAATATAACATTTTACCATGCATTCTTACAGTTCTCTTATAATTCAAAATCACTTGCTGATGCTCTCAAAAACGTAAGATACATAAGGTATGGTATGCATAAGATGTGAAATTGCAGCTTAGACTCAGGAAGTAGGTCAATGGAAGAGCATCTGCCTAGCATAGGCAAGGTCCTAGGTTCAATCCCCAGTACCACCAAAGAGAATGATTATGGCTCTCCTTGTTCCTTCACAAATCCATCGTCAGGTCCCTCCTGTCTTCTCTACCCCACTAAGTTACTACTTGCATTTAAATCTTCGGTAGTTTATGCAAACTTGTTAGTGTTGGACCCCCAGACTGGGGTACCCAATGTTCACGGGAGGTCGCACCCCAATAACTCAGTCCTCAAATCAGGAGATGCAACAAGCATGAGGATTTATTGGCGTTTTGCAAAACGGACTCCCACCTCACTCGGAGGACAGAAGTCCAGAGCCCAGTTTACAGGTTTCTTTTAAAGACAAGCGGCGGCTATGTGCCAAGCAGAGGTAGGGGGAATTTCTGGGATGATTTCCAGCTTGGGCAGAGGAGCATGAAAAAGGTCAGCTCAGCTTGTTCTTAGCATTCAGAATTATTTTTCATTTTTACTTCCTTGTACAGTTTTTCTCAGGCCTGGAGGATTTTAGTTTAAATCCATTATTCTGGGGGCTTTGGATCCATCAGTTAGGGTTCTGGGCATGCCTGCCTGTGACTGGCATTTTATTTCTTCTCAGATTTAATTTTACATTGTCTAAACTCAGACACTCAGAATTTCTCCCTGGATGCTCTTCTCTGTCACTCAAAGAGCTGGAGAGCAGTTTATACAGAATGTAGTGTGAGCCAGCTCCTGGTCCCCCCCCATCAGCAGAGGAGTCCCTCTTATTCCAGGAATGCCTGACATCAATTGGCATCTGCAGATACGGGTTGTTGTGTTTTGGCTGTGACGGGGTCTCCCTATGTAGCCCAGGCTGACCTTGAACTACTGATTCTTTTGCCTCAGTTTCCTAAGAGACTACAGGCATATACCAGCACACCGGGCTTTGAAATACAGCTCTGACTATAAAATGATACATTCTGACTTGCTAATAACAAGAGGCCCGAACAAGAAACTCCATCATGTGGCTTTGCTCCTACAGCCCTTGAGGGTATTGATTGAAAGTGCATTCCAGTATCTCAGTTCATCCATAAATTGCACTTTTTACTAGTAGCTCTTTCCCCTCTTGGTGAAGTGCCCGCAATTCACACCCTTGCCAAATCTCCTAGAGAACACAGCCTAGCCATTTGTGGACTTTTCTCCAGAAGCTTGTTTGAAATTGAGTTTAGGGGCCAAATTTTTGGTTGTCTCCTGAAAACTACTGACAGCTCCTCTGTGCTGGTTAGTCTTTGTTCAATTTAACACCAACTAGAGACACCTGGGAGAGGAAACCTCAGTCAAGGAACTGGCTCCATCAGATTGACCCGCGGCTGTGTCTGTGAGACATTTTCTTAATTGCTAACTGACATGAGGCGAGCCCAGTCCACTGTGGCTGGTGCCATTCCTAGGCAGGTGGGCCTGGGCTGGATAAGAAAGTTAGCTGAGCAAGCCAGAGGGAGCGAGCCAGTAAGTTTCTCCATGGGCTTTGTTCACTTTCTGCTTCCGGTTCCTGCCCTGTTTAAGTTCCTACAGTGGCTTCCCTCGATGATGGTCTGTGATTAGGACATGTAAATAGAATAACCCCTTCCTTCCACATTGGTTTCGGCCAGTGTTTTATCAGAGTTAATAGAAAGCAAACTAGAATACCCTTCCTGGGGTCGCCTGTCTCCAGTACTTTGCAATTCCTTGTGCAGGGCATCTTTCTTTGATGTGTGCAGTCTTTGCTCAAGGCTAGTCTCAGGGTGAACCAAATGTTCCACATGAGAAGATACAGGAAGAGGTTCACACAAATCTGTGCCCGGCCCTCCATGCCACCACCCCGGCAAACTAAAGTGCTGTACCTGCCCACCGCCATTCTTTTCCTACTGCTGTGGACTTCTGGAGAACTAAGGAACGACGCAGATCTGCTCTTCGCATCTGCAGCCTGGTGCCCACTGCACCCAGTGACCAGAGCGCCAAATCTGATCAGGTGAGTTAGGTGCATAAGATACTGATCGAAAGGTTCGGAATTGCTGGGTGGAGACTGACTGACCTTTTAGAGTTCAGAATGAAAACTGAGCTGGGTGTGGTGGCGCACGCCTCTAATCCCAGCACTCGGGAGGCAGAGGCTGGCGGATCTCTGTGAGTTCAAGGCCAGCCTGGTCTACGTAGTGAGTTCCAGGCCAGCTAGAGATACAGGGAGACCCTATATCAAAAAGACCCCCCCCCAAAAGAATGAAAAATGACCCAAATGATAGAAATCAAAGGCTTAAATTCAGCCCAGTACTCCCACTGATGAGGCCTCTTCTACCCCATCCAGTCTATTAAAGCACCTTTGCTGGCTCACAGGTCTAGAGACCCATCTAAGGCATTCTTTCTGAAGAAGGTGAGGGATTCAGGTACACTCCTTAAAGAGGGTAGAGACCTAGTTGTGTGTGGGGGGGTGTACTTTTCCAAACACCTGGATTCTGTCTTCTCTGCCAGTCACTCCTGTGAAAGTAGTTTTAGTTGGTATTTGATTCATTGAAGCAGTATTTCAATGAGTTTCCTTTACCATGACATTCTCAACAAGCAGTGCTGACAAATCATGACCATTTGTAATGAATACGGCTCACCCTTATTGGCCCCTGAGAATGGATGTGACAGTTTAGAAGTGGTATTGTGTTTCACCTAGAGTTTGAGGTAATGCTATATGGAAGTCAAGATTGGAAAAGCACCTTGTCCTGCTGTCAGGGTAAGTGCAGCCTGGGCCATGATTCCAGGGAACCAAAGCCTTCCTGCCTTGGAACTATCTCCCAAGTACTTACTTTTTTCTTTTTTTTCACTTTAAAAAACATTTTGTTTATTATTTTATGTATATAAGTGTATTGACTGCATCTATGTAAGTGTGCCCATGTCATGCAGTGCCCTTGGAGGACAGAAGAAGGCATCGGATCCCCTGGAACTGGAGTTAGAGATGATTGTTAGCCACTATGCAGGTGCTGGGAATTGAACCCAGGTTCCTCTACAAGGGCAAACAGTGCTCTTAACCACTGAGCCACCTCTCCAGGCCCCAAGTAATTACTTTCTATAGTTCCTTAGGTGACATTATCCTTTCTACTTTGCAGATAGGTCTTTTGGACACATGATCTCCTGAGAGTTGAGGAGTTAGCTAGAGCTTGTTAGAGACTGAAGGGCTCCTTTCTGGTGTGCAGAAGAGAAGGTGTATGAGGTAATTAGAGTTTTCGAAACAAACTTCATCTCTTTTATTTCAGTTTTATTCTTGGCTCACTCAGTCTGCAGCATATTTTTGATTTGCCATTAACTTTGTTATATAATGAGGGCTACCTAATCTGGCAGCCAAACAAAATTAGGCAGGAATAGGAATTTTAAAGTGCAGCTGCAGCCCTCAGGGGAGTATCTCATCAATGTTTTCTCCTCTCTTTCCTGTGCCCACTTAGGTGGCCAGGTGCCTGAGATGGCCTCCTTTCTAAAGGCTGGGGGCGTGTTCTTGGTCCTACTGTGCTTCCTGTGCAAGCTACTTGTGCAAAGCGAGAACCCTTCCAGGCGGGGATTCATGGAGCTGCACCACCTAAATCCAAGCAAAGAATTCAGTGAATATAATTGCGATGTCCTCATGAAAGAAAAAGCTCTGAAATCCAGGATCTTCCATGTGTTCATTTATATATCATGGTTCAGAGTTGAGCATATGTGTATTAGTGGCAACTGGAAAGATCGATACAAAAATTCGTATGTTTGGGCTCAGATGCCCATTAAAGTCCTCAAGTGTCATCTGGACAGTTCCAGAAATCACTATAGAGAGAACAGGAGCTACAACTATGTTCAATTCCATTGTAATGTGGATGGTTATGTTGATAGCATAGAAGACATGAAGATTCTACAGCCAATCTTTTTCTAGAAAGTCAACCTCCTCCCAGGTTTGGGGAGAGTATTGAGTGGTCCTCACTTGTTGAGCCCTCCTTACGATGGCTACTGCTGCCTCCTTTGTACTAGTGTGTCAATGTTTTCCAATCACTTAGAGTTGTGCATCACATAGATTCTTGCTATTAAAATTTTGCTTATGTTGTCCTCTGCCTCATTTACCCAATTTATTCAAATTTTTCATCACTCAGCTCATTTGGTCTTCGAGAGAAACAATTTAAAGAAGAAGGATATTTATTTTGCCTCACAGTTTCAGAGGCATCAGTCCATGGTCTCTTGGCTCTGTTGGTTGCCCATGGGTCTTATAGTGAGGCAGAATATTATGGAGGGAAGTGTATGGAAGAGAAGAGCTGCTCACCTCACCATGACTAGGTAGTAGAAAGGAAGGGGAGGGTATAGGGACAAGAGAAATGCTCAAAGTGTTGCTCCCAGTGCCCTGTATTCTCCAATTGAGCCCTTTGAATCCGCTTGGCATTGAATTAATGGATTAAGACACTACTGAAATAAGTTATAGTTTTCAAGACCCAATCACTTCTCAGAACTCTATCAGCTGGCAAGCAAGCATTTGGGAGGACAGTCAGCAGCCAAACCATGACAGTATCTTCCCCTGACTTATCTCCAATTTTTCCTAATGTTGATATCTTTATAACTATCCAAACGGAATGATCTTCCTCCCACAAATAGTTATACCAATGTATGTGATGCATGCATATATTATGTGTACAGAGTCTGTGTTGTGTGTTGGTACAAGCAATGTGGTATGTAATATGAAGTATGACTAGATGTAATGATGGCACAAATAGGTTAAGGTGCATTTTATATGTGTACCTGCACGTGTATGATACATCTCTGCATCCAATGGGGGTGTAAATGTTTATGTGTTAAGCTAGAGGCAAGTCATAACTTGGGCAATGATTATGGTGGCCACTAAAGTTCCACCAGGATGGGAGGCAAGGGCAAAGTGGTGCGGATGACATGGTGGGTCATAGCAGGCACGCCAAAAACTCTTTTGAGGATTTTTATGTTTTGTTTTGTTCGTTTGGTCTTGGGTTTTCCCTCTGGCTTGGAATTTTAATTTTGATTTTGGCAAATACTCTCCCTAACTGTAGATTTCTAATATATATTTCTATAATACATTTCATATGTATATATATTAGGTCGTCATCTGTGTGAAAGGCATAAACATCTGATCAAAAAGAATCCTTTGGGGCTGGAGAGAATCTCAGATGGCTCTTGCAGAGGATCTGGGTTTGGTTCCCAGCATCCACATGGCAGCTCAAAAATACCCATAATTCCAGTTCCAGTGATCCAACGCCCTCTTCTGGCCTCCATGGGCATTGAACACATGGGTGCATTTACATATAGGCAGGCAAGACACTCATAAAAAATAAATAATTAAAAAAGTTTTTAAAAAATCAATCAGAAAACAAAAACAATCTTTCTTGAGATGGCTCAGCAGGTGTTACCAGAATTTTGAGGCCCCATCATAGTTACCACATGATACAAGGTAAATTGGGGCTCTTAGTCTCATTAATAAAAGAATTTAAAGCCAGGTGTGGTGGTGCTCGCCTTTAGTCCCAGCTTGCCTCTGGGAGGCAGAAGCAGGCAGATCTCTGTGAAATTGAGGCCAACCTAGTCCATATAGCAAGTTCAAGGCCACTGGGCTACAAGGAAACTCTGTCTCAAATAAATAAATAAATAAATAAATAAATGCAAGAATTTAAGAATGGACTCAAATGGAAGCTTGAAGATAATTTTATTAGAGTTTAACAGAAAAATCCCCACAGCAGGAGAAAAATGGAAGAGAGAAGGAAAGACACATAGCTTTAAGCCACCATGGAAGTCAGATGCGTGGCAGACTAGCAGCCCCATGGTGGGGAGGGGAGCTTTAGAGAAAGAGTAAGACAGCCCAAAATGTAGGGGAAGCTCAAAGTGTTAGGGAACGCATGCTTAGAAAGGAGACATAATGCCCAGGAGAAGGAGAAGTTATGTTTTTCTGAAGAATTCAGAAAAATGGGCATTTTTATGAAGCTGTGTAATTGCTGTCTGGAAAGCTCCTGCACTGGGGCGGGAATTCTGGGATGGAAAAGTGTGGTATCTCATTAAAGAACTAATTATTCCACCCATCTTTTAGCATAGCTTAAGATGAACCCCTCCTTCCTATGGGCGGATCCTTGGCCAAGTGACTGACTTGGCTCAACTGAAATGTTAAGTCGCCACCCAGGCCAGGGATTCTTTCCTCTTGACCAGGAAATTTTTCTTTTAACAGGCCTTTATTGCTACTGCAGCATAAGACCTATTGCCACACTGGCCTATTGACCTGATTTTGATCCCCAGAACCCATACAAAGGTGGATAAAGAGAAACAATTCCACAAAGTTATCCTCTGGCCCCCATGAGCATGCCATGGCATTCTCTCTCTCTCTCTCTCTCTCTCTCTCTCTCTCTCTCTCTGTCTCACACACACACTAATAATAAATTTTTAAAAGAATTCTTCCATCAACCATAGATGACCAGATACATCTGCTGGATTCCCTCATTAAGAATGTCTGTTTGGGGGGCTGGAGAGATGGCTCAGTGGTTAAGAGCACTAGCTGCTATTGTAGAGGATCTGGGTTCAGTTCCCACCATCCACATGGCAGCTAATGATCATCCATAACTCCAGTTCCAGGGAATTCAATGCCCTCTTCTGGCCTCAGAGGGTACTGTATACATATGATGCACTCACATACATGTAGGCAAAACAGTCATGCACATAAAAGAGATAAGTGAGAAAAAATTTTTTAAGAATATTTATTTTGGGGCCTGGGAAGATGGCTTCGTAAGGTGCTTACCACACAGCATGAAGACCTGAGTTCAGATCCCCAGTACCTAAAACATTTCAGGTTTGGGGCTTAAGGGGAAAACTGGAGTGGATTGGGTAAGACATTTTAGAAGAGTTATTAAAGCCATGGGATATGTACAGACAGACAGCATGACTCTGAGGAGAAATCAAACCCATGAGGCAGAATGAAGGTCCTTTTTATGGGTCTCATGGAAAGGGGGAGCTTTCATGTAGTCAGACTGTCCCTGATTCCCTGATGGGTAGTGGGGGAGGGAGGGGAAGGAGGGTCTTGCATTGCCAGGAAGGATGTGAATGTGGGAGAACAGGAGGAGGGCCACATCTAGTTGAGGTCTATCCATTATACTGGTGGGAGACGTGCCAGTCACACTGGTGTTTGGGCACTAGTATCCCTCTGATGTCCCAGAGTCTGGCAGCCTGAGCCTGTACACTTCCTTGGGGGAAGTGAGAATGATGCCTGCCATTCTCCAAGAATCCAGGCCCCTGGGGAATCTGTCAGGGGTTCAGAGAGTCACAGACAGGCTCTCAGTAAAGGACTGCCTTTTCCCTCACAAAGGCTGTAAGAAAGGCTACCACAGGCAGGCATGGGCTGAAGAGCAGTCTGGTCTGGATTCTAACAATGTCCATGTGAGATTCAGGCGCAGGAGTGTGTATCTATGTTATAAACACATTATGCCAGAAACACAAACACACCTGTGTCTTTCCACAATGTCAGAATGTATTCCCTAATAATACTTTACCAAGTACCACCATTTCAATAGCAGCAGTCTGCCAGATACTCCTGCCTGCTTCGGTAATCTGACTGAGATAAATGTAGGTTATTTTATTTCTATCTCAATGAGTAATATTAATTCCATCTCACGTGGCACAAAGAAAATATATATATCTATCATCGTATCTTCCATCTCTATGTGTACACATATATATGTGGTTTACAGAATGAATACAAGTTAAAGAGTCTACAGAAGAGTTCAAGAAGTTTTAGAAGTGGACTGATAAAAATGTAAATAAAATCTATATTGATAATATAACAAAGCCAACCAACAGGGAAGAAGAAATTGCTGTAGAGATCAGGCTGTGGAAGAGTCAGAGTTGAGAGAGAAATGTAACCAAGAGGCACAAAAGGACAGAAACTACCAGGCCAAGTAGCTCACACTTTTAATCCCAGCAGAGGCAGGCAGATCTTTGTAAGTTTGAGGCCAACCTGGTCTATATAAAGAGTTCCAGGTCAGCCAGGGCTACATAGTGAGACCCTGTCTCAGAAAACAACAATATGAAAAGAAAAAGCGGTCAGGGTAGAGGAGAGAGAACTGATCCAGAGTGAATGGGCAGACAGCATTTGAGTAGTCCTGTCAACAGTAGGGTACTGAGCTAAGCTGAAGCCCCAGGGATAGTTGGGAGTTCTCTGCCTAGCAGTCCTTGATGTATGTACCAGGTGTCAGATGACACGTTAGTAGGCCCTGTGGTGCTAGCGCTTTGTGTAACCCAGGTGAGGGAGTTACACTTAGTTTATTTGGTCTAGCATGTCTGATAAGTTCTTGGGCCTGACATGATTTTAATATGCCCATGTATCTGTACGTGAAAGTTTCCAGAAAGACAAAAACAAAAAAAGTCAGAGAAGGCCAGTATCAGTTTCAGAGGACTTCTGGTTTTCTGCAACCAGCACATTCTATCACTTAGGCTCATTAATAAAAGAATCTTAAAATGTTTGAGGACAATTTACTAGAGGTTAAAAGAAAACCACCCAGGACAGGCAAGCTGTAAATCTCAGCAACTGCCTGGAGGAGGAAAACGGGGGGGGGGGGGGGGGGGGGGGAGGAAAAGAAGCCATGTTATTTAAGCTGGCGTGGAGTCAGAGACATGGCTGATAAGCAGCCACATGGCAGGGAAAGTGGATTTAGAGAAAGAGTGAGGATTCCTAAAATGTTATGGAAGTCAGAAGTGTTAGGAGAAGAAAGTTTATAAAAGAGAAGAAAAGGAAAAGTTCTGTTTTCCTGAGTAATTCGGAAAAGCAGGCAGCTTAGGAAGCTGCTACTGAGCTAGGGGCAGGAAGGAAAAGTACATTATCTCATTAAAAGACTAATTATTCTGCCTATCTCTTTAGCAAGGCTTAAAGTTTATGGGCCTTCTTAGGGATGGTCCCTGGACCAGGTGACTGATTCACTAAACTGGAATGTTAGGTCTCCATCCA